GTATTTGAATTGAGATGGAATTTACAACCTATCTGAAAATCTGTGGGAAACAGTAAAAATAAGATTTCTAGACAACAGTAAGTTGGAGGTTGGTTTACAATGGGGAGATAAGCATTCTAAAGTCCATGTCAAGTACAAGAAGAGAACAGAATTACTGAATAACTTTAAACTTTGTTTGAAAAATTTATACTTAAGAACATAAGTTAAAATGTTAAGGGTAACCATTAAATGACCAGAAAACAATCTAGACCTACCAGAAAAGCAGGAAAGTAGAGAAAACTGTCTCATACAGAAATCAGAGAAAAAAAATTTAAGGTAAATAAAAAGCTAGTAAAATAAATAAGATGGTAAAAATAAGCAATCACCATAAATATAAATAGATTAAAATCATGTTGTAAAACAGAGATGATCAGATTAAAATATAAAAAAATCTAGCTATGTGTTTGTTTACAAGAGACAGAGGCTTGCCTGGTGTACAACAGGTGTGGTCTGACTTAAAAAGATTCTGTCCAGATTCTCTTTGTCAGAGAGAATAAAGAAGGGAGACTCAGGTGGCTGTGAGTGGTGGAGCTAAGAAGCAACAAAGAAATGGGACCAGGGCAGCCTCATGGCATGTGTGTGAGAAAAAGGGCTATCAGTAGGCAAAGGAGGCCACTCAGTAGATGGAAAGGTGAACAAACAAACACACAGAAAGAGAGGGAGGCCTCTGTCAGAACCAGGTAGCTCTGTCCCTCCCAGATGCCGAGGAGGCCGGAAGGCACTCAGTTCCTGCCCTTGGAGTCCACTCTCTGTCTCCTCTGAGGATGGGGAGGACATTCCTTCACATGATCTAGATTTGGTGGGTTGCTGTTTCTCTCAGCCCAGAGTCCTGACTAGAACACATAATAGCAATATGGCTAGTAGTTCCTGCGTGATCACTGTGTGCTGGGTGCCCCAACAAGAGCCGCTCACAGATTATCTTACTTAATAGTACCCATGAGGTAGCTATTATTCTTATCCCCATTTTGTATACTAGTAAATTCAGGCCTGAGGAGACTTCACAGCTAGTTACTGGTAACTCAAGACAGGAACCCAGACAGTTTCACTCCAGAACCATTCCCTTGACCACCACACTATACAAGGTTTCCAAAATGAAAGAATTACTCTGCATTGCTCTAGGTGGCTTATGATGGCCAAAAGTTAGACATTA